TATACTCCCTCCGTCCGGTTTTTATGTTCCCAGTTTGACTTTTAGTCATTTTTAGTGAGTGTTGACTAAGGCTATAAAATGACTAGAATGCCCTTACTAAAAAAAGAAGGAAAGAAAGCCACATGCAGTATAAAGAAGTGAACAAATACGGAGTACTTTTACTGGTTCCAATCCAAAACAGTAGGGAAGTATGGGCTGATTACATCATATCATCATTACATTACCAAATCATCCAAAAAACACTCCAATTCCCTCCTATTTTTAGAAAACTACCCGCCCAAACATTCCCAAAATTTTTAAAACAACCTTTCCCCTTGCAGTCCTATAAAAGGCCCCTCTCATTTCCTCATTTAGCAGGTTTTTTTCTTGAATATGTCTTCTTCATTTTCTTGCTGCAGGCCTTCCAATGTATTCGGGCTGCGCTTCATTTCCTTCGGGCTACTGTCGTTGCACGTTTCTTCGGGGCGTTGTTCTTGAACTCTCTTTGGGCTGCTCTTCACTGTCTTCGGGATGCTGTCCTTGCACGTTTCCTCGGGCTGCTGTCCTTGAACTATCTTCGGGCTGCGCTCCATTTTCTTCGGGTTGCTATCCTTGCACGTTTGTCCGTGCTGCCGTCCTTGAACTCTCTTCGGCCTGCTGTCCTTGCACGTTTCTTCGGGCTGCGGTCCTTGAACTCTCTTCGGGTTGCTCTTCATTTTCTTCGGGCTGCTGTCCTTGCATCTGTGCTCTTCATTTTCTTCTGTTTTGTTGGAAATTGCACTTCTTGGAGGCCTGCAAACACACATGAATACGAAGAGGTTGGAGAACACAACGAGGCAGGTAATCAGTGACACATTACTAGCACATTCAAAGCAAAATCCTAATGGTTCATACTCAGCTCAGTATGGGCATATCAACAAACTTGCTGCACAGTTTAATGTATCTAGAAAAATAGTGAGCAAGATATGGACAATTGCAAAGAAACAAATAGAGTAGGGGGTTGCCATCGATGTGAGGAGTCGAATGATAGGAAAGAAGGGCAGGAAAAGGACAGTGATGGATGCACAGGCTATTGCAGACACTCCACTCAAGAAGAGGACTAATGTCAGATCTTTAGCTGCTGCAATTGGCAAGCCTAAGTCAACCGTGCATGAATGGATAAAAAAAGGTATGCTGAGGATCCATTCTAATGCAATCAAACCATTCTTAACTGATGCTAATAAAATATCAAGGTTGAGGTTTTGTTTAGATCAAGTAGACCCTTACAGCATGCCCATCCACCCTCAATTTAAAACTTTTCACAATGTTTTACACATTGATGAAAAGTGGTTTTACATGTCTAAAACTTCCCAAAAATTTTACCTACTTCCAGATGAAATTGACCCACACAGAACATGTAAGTCCAAAAAGTTCATAACTAAAGTCATGTTTTTGTGTGTGGTTGGGAGACCACTATTTGCTGAGAGTGGATAAGTATTGTGGGATGGAGAAATTGGCATTTTCCATTTCACAGAAACAGTTCAAGCTCAGAGGAAGAGTAAAAACAGAGCAAAAGGGGTGTTGGAGGTGAAGCCAATCACTAGTGTTACCAAGCAAGTGACAAAGGATATGCTGATCAAACAAGTCATTCCATGTATCCAAGAAAAATGGCCAGCACAATTATCTAAAGACATACACATTCAGCAAGATAATGCAAGGCCACACATTCAAGGACTGGACTCTGACTTTATGGCAGCAGGTAACACAAATGGATTTCACATCACTCTAAATAATCAACCCCCCAACTCCCCAGATTTAAATGTCCTGGACCTTAGGTTTTTTAGAGCCATCCAGTCTTTAAAAGAACAGTGTGCTCCAACCAGTGTTCCAGAGTTATTAGAGGCAGTTCAAAGAGCATATAATGCCCTCAATCCAGAAACCTTGAATAAGGTTTGGTTGACATACCAGCAGGTGTTGACTAAGGTAATGGAACATGAAGGAAATAACAACTACAGATTACCATATATGGGGAAAGATAGACTTGCCAGAGAAGGAAATTTTCCTAAGTCTTTGAGCATAGACCTGGACCTTATTCAGAAGACAGCAAGATTGGTTGGACAACAGAATGGAGGTAGAAATGAAGGAATGGTTGAGTTCAAAACTGAAGAGGGAGATGACTACCTATCTTCAGAGTTGAACTAAACACACACTTTTTTTTGGGTTTCAGTGTATGTAATTGGTTGCCACTGTGGGTTTTTGGAGAGTGGTTACCACATTATGTTTTGTGGCTTTATGTGTTTGTAAATGGTTGCCACAGAAAACTTTTTGGGTTTTGGGTTTTGGGTTTTTGGGTTTTGGGTTTTGGGTCTCACATCAAGGCAACTACACACAATCTACTCTATATGTAACATATGTATAATGAAATACAACTGCCATCATATGCTTATCACTTTTTTTATAACTGCCACTTCATCATTGCTGGTCTAGTTTTATTATTCTCATACATTCATCACAGTAAATGGTCACATAGGGTCTTACAAACAACATAGGGACAGATAGGACACCCAGAGGCAGAGTAAGACCACATAGAAGGTGTAAAACCCTCACTACTCAGAGACATCCTTAAATGGATATATACATTCTCATCACAGTATGCATCATTGTTCTCAGACATTCATCACAGAAAGTGGTCACAAGAGGGACAGATAACATAGTGTACAGATAGGGCACCCAGAGGCAGAGTAAGACCACATAGAAGGTGTAAAACCCTCACTACTCAGAGACATCCTTAAATGGATACAATCTCATCACAGTAGGCATCATTGTTCTCAGACATTCATCACAGAAAGTGGTCACAAACAGTCTTGCAAACATTAGAGGGATAGATAACATAGTGTACACTTTGGACAATCAAAGGCAGAGCAAGACCACATATGAGGACTAATACCCTCACTACCCAGAGACATCCTTAAATGGATACATGCTCAACACAGTAGGCATCATTGTTCTCAGACATTCATCACATAGTGTTAATTAAGGACCCTTTTAATGGAAAGCCACATGTAGAATAAAGAAATGAACAATATGGAGTCCTGTTACTATTTCCAAAACAAGGGAAGAGCAGGGACAGTAATTGAATCATCCAAACTCACATAATCTATAATTATTTCAGTAATGTTGAAATAATTTAAGTATAGGAAGGTTAAACGAACTTTCCTACTTGTACTTTGAAGCCCAAAAGTCTGGATCTGGGCTTGGAAGTAAGATGTTTAGCATATCAATGTGGAGGTGCATGCGTGAGTACATGGGTTGAGAAGAATCAAACCCAGGTCTCTCAAACTCCTCCATCTCGACACCCTCTTGCCTCCCATCAACAAAATTACAATCTTCTTGAGATTGAATGTTGATAAAACACTGCATTTCTCTGATCGGGGCAGGATCGGCACCATCATCGTCACTATCGATGACGATGACCTCGTCATCGCTATGGATTGCGATAACCTCCTCCACCTCGCTGTCATCAGAGATTAAATCTTCGACCTCACCCCAACCATCTTGAAATTTCGTCTCCGGAATGATAGAATCCAAGAAATAGTCATGCGGATCCATTAGATGTGGGCAGAGATCTAGGGTTCTAAGAGAAGAGGGAGAAAGAATTGGGCGGAATGGATCTGGGAAGGAGAGGAGGTGCGAGTTAAAGCAAGAGGGTATAATGAATGCGGGTAGGAGGATTGGGCGAGAAGGGCGATTTAATGAGAGGGGTAGTTTAGGAAAAGTGAGTTAGAAAACGTATACTGGGAACTTTATTTCCGGACGAAGAAAAGAGTAGAGTGAGAACTTAAAATTCGGACGGAGGGAATAACATTTTATTGAATTTACTATTTTTTTCCAATCTAAGTCGTCCTTGCACTTCCTGACAGCTGCGAGCTTCTTGCTACTTCCTATGCGCACACACACACCCTAGACTTTCGACTCGAACCTTCACCGGCCGATTCTTCGTCTCACCAATGGCTTCCAAGAAGAAGGAATCGGAGGGAATTGCGTTGCTTTCAATCTATGGAGACGAGGACGACGAGATGGACGATTATCGGGAAGGAGAAAGCGAGAAAGACGAGGACCCGATTCCAATCGACGTCGTTGTCTCACCGGATAAAGACCTCGGCGGAGAAGACAATGGAAGAGGTGCGGGATTGGATTCGGGCAGGAGTCCGACTCCATCGCCTTTGGCACCACAGCAGGTGGGAATGGACAATCTCACGCCTAGTAAGGTTTCGAACTTTGGGGGTTCTGCAACTGGAACGCCCCAGCTCACGGTTTCGTCACCGCCTCTACCTCAGCCGCAGGGAAAGCAATTGACTGCGGTTTCTGAGGTGGTTGTGACTAGAAGTAGGCTCACTATAGTGGATTACGCCCACGACGAGGTGGCTATGTCTCCTGAAACCGAGGTGGGTACTATCGAATGCTGCTCTATATGGTTTTGAATCAGGCATTACTTCTTCATTCCTTTTCTTTATTGGTTCACCAATTCCTTCACACTGTATAGGATCTGTGAACAAAGTGAACCATGGAGAAACGTTTTTGGGTTACTAGTTCAATAATAGAATTGGGGGTTTCCAATTTCCAGCGAAGATATGATTTTCTTTTTACTTTTTTTAAATTTTTTAGCCGACATTACTATTAAGGCACTCACAAGCTTGTTGCTTTAGAAGATATGCTGATATCTCTGCTCATAGATTTTGTGTGTTGATTGTAGCAAGGAGGAATCACGACCAGTGTTCAAGCACATGATACAGAGGAACTGCAAGTAGTTCACTGTATGTATTCTCTGCTATTAAGGGACATCCATATTGCATTTTTCAAAAACTTGTTTTTATTGCTTGGAGAGCCATGATGTGGTTTAATTTTGAGAATTATTTGATTATTTAGAATTCAGATGGCACAATTTTCTTGGGGAGAGCTTTGATTACAGTATAACTACTGAATAGTGCTACTTTTCATATCACACCCTATTGATCATTGATCTGTCCAAAAACCAATGTTGTAAAGTCACATCCCAAGTTCCTAGCCACAATTAGTTCTCTTCCAGGCACTAGGTTGTTCTTGTTTAATCTCTGCCTAGGCACTAGGCTGAAATCTGAATTTCGTTCCTAGCACTCCGTACACCATTGATTAAATGTGAAGATGGCCTGGTCTTTAGAAGCTTGTTTATGTTTATGGTTGTGTGTATAGTTATATAAGTTTTGAACTGCTACATTTTTTGTTCATTCAGACTTAGGGTATAATTATATTTCAATATTGTGCATATTGGTTTTATCATACCAATCATGTAATGTGATATATGACTATGGGATATGAAATTAGTCATTACATCTTAATCATGGTCATCTCATGATTTTATTTTTAAGGGTTTACCGTTAACTAATTATAGAGACTTGTCACTAAATTACATGCTACCAACCCTGACATATTTGGTATTAAGGAGGTGATGATGCTGGTAATATGGATGGCCATTCAGGCTTAATAGTGTGTTAGGCTTCACCTTAACGGTTTATTTCTTATTTGTTATGTACATATGAAATTATAAGTGGAACAGGTATATACTGTTTCTAATTTTCTATTTCTACACGATCATATGAAGAATACTCACCTATTTTAGCATACTGTAGGAAGATTAACCCATGATGGGAAAGTTAGTGTCAATTTAAGCTCTGAAACAATAATATTTGCCTTTTCCTCAGCTTTAGCTGAATCACAAGTTAGAAGTCCATGGGGCGCTCTTCAAGGCCATACGCCCACTATTCAAACACCTCCTCATCAATCAGTAGAGGCAAATGCTGATGATGCAAATGCTTTGAGTTCTGGAGATGTTGATATGTTTCCTGCAGAAGAAAAAGAAGACGATCCACTGGAAAAGTTTCTTCCACCGCCACTGAAGACTAAGTGCTCTGACGAATTACAAGTAAGTGAAGTATCAGCCGCATAATATTTTAGGTAACTCTTAAACATTAATGAATCCTCTTGTTTTGATGATTATTCATTCATGCGACCATATGTTTGTAGCTGAAGTTTTGTATACGGAGTATTATTAAATACGGAGTAATGCGTTTAAGACTGTCTTGTTATTTCATCTGATTAAGCGTTTTCACCATCGTGGAGTGGTAGTTAGTCTTCAAATATTGCATATTGTGTAAGGCTATGTTAGGTTATTTTGGTTGGGGACTCGAGGTGTGGCATGTGAGCTAGACTGGGTTGCACCAAGCCACCAACACAGACAGATGGCACAACAAAGTTCAAAGTGTGGGATATAGTTAATATGTATGCCCTCCTTCACAATGTATTTGTCGAATTATTCTTTAGGCGCCGTCCTAGTGTATTTTTCCACTTTCCATTTAAGGAAAAGAAGTAAAGGCACATTGACTTATTTGCCCTCACTTAATTCTCCAACTACCCCATCCCAATAGTAAAAGTATGAGCATAATAGTCACTTCCTCCTCTTTCTTCTTTGTCCTTTGTCCATATGTTAAAAAGGTTGTGGACAATACACCGGGAAGGAGGGAGTAGATAAGGGAAGATTTTTGTATGCCTATGGTTGTTACTTTTTGCACCGGCAATCCATTCCTACAAATGCATCATCCATTGTTTTGCATGGCTTTGCTGTCACAAACACACATGAGAAAACATACTCTAGTTATGAGGAAATAGTGTATTCATACCCTTATTAGTCATTTTGTGGCGTAATCACAATCAATAAACAACTAAATCATCAAATAATTTTCTTCAAATCCACTAAGAATGCCCGATCGTCAAACTGTCTTACACAACCTGCGATGACCTGTTCTCTAACCACTAATTGCCAAACAAGACCTATAAGATTTATGAGTTCTTTTGGATGCAATAGTGTTCAATTGTCATGACTCGTGGCTGTGTTTCATTATTATCACTTAAGCATTCACTAGGAGCTGGGGCGGGTTGCTAAGTGTTTGTTTGTAACTTTATTAAGTTGCAATTTAGGTTAAGAGCAGCCTAGTGTAATGTCTTGAACCGCCTCTGTTTTGTATGGGGTTACTTTACAGGTGGTAACTTTTTTTTTGTTACCTTATTGATATGTGAAGCCTGAACTCCCTGAAGTGAATGAGACTGGCTGTAGGTTCGAGTGAAAATGCATTTTGACCCTATCATCACTGTTGATTGATTTAATTTCCCAATGCAAACTTTATCTTCTAAATGATGATGATCTTGGCTGGATTTCACACACACTCCCTCTCTCTCCAAGTGTCAACCACCTTCCCAGCCCCAACTACCTCACAGGCCACATCCAAAGACCAGATGCCATTATTTTATCAATGTAGTGTTTTTTGTTCCATTATGATGTCACTTCATTTTCCATTTGAAACTCTTGTTGCTAAGCTGAATATTCTCTTTATTCCTGTATATGTTGCCACAGCAAAAGATTAATAGGTTTCTTGAAATAAAGAAAACTACTGGAAGAAGCTTTAATGCAGAAGTGCGAAATAGAAAGGACTATAGAAATCCTGATTTCTTGCGGCATGCAGTGCAATATCAAGGCATTGATGAGATAGGATCATGCTTCAGTAAAGATGTATTTGACCCACATGGATATGACAAATGTGACTTCTATGACGAAATAGGTTAGACAACTCTTAATTTGCGAGTTTTTATCTTTCAACTGAATGTCTTTACAGGTGGCCAGTGTTTGGGACTTAATGTGGAATGTTTTTCTTTATAAAAATTGATGCACATGTTTTTAAAAATTATATGCTCTTCTGAGTAAAAACTTAAGTGCTAATTTTGTCATTGTGGCATTTCCTTTAGAGGCCGATATTAGGCGTGAAATGGAGAGGAAGGAGCGAGAGAGGAGGCAGAGTCCAAAAGTTGATTTCATTTCTGGCGGAACACAGCCTGGAGTAGTTACCATGGGGAAACCCAATCTGCCACTACCAGGTTCCATATTGATTAGTGATTACAAACTCCTCGTCCTTTTGTGTTTACATGGATTAATCTGTTTCTGATCAGTTTTCTGTCATTGTGGCAGGCGTTGGATTGAATCCAGCTCCAACTTCTGTTGACGCTATGCCCCGGGAAAGCAGGCACAACAAAAAGTCAAAGTGGGATAAGGTTTTCATCTTTTTTACCACACAGGTTATGCAAACGTAGCAAAATATGATATGAACCTGTAGTCCTGCTGTGTTTTCAGGTGGATGTTGATCATAGGGATACAATACCTGTTGGTGCACATGCAGCATTGCTATCTACTGGTAGTGGATATGCTGCTTTTGCGTAAGTTCCATGTCATATGAATATATGATTAAGATTCCTTCTTTCCTCAACCACAGTGTTTCCTAAAAATCTTCTTTTAAACTCCACCAACCCCCAATTAACAGTCTGTTTAATCAAGGTACAAATTTTAAATTGCGGCAATGTACAACAACTCTTGTAAATTGCAGATACTACGGACTCTCTCCGTTCCTAAGTACACTTCACATTTCAATTTACGAAGTCTGTCTGATTTTTTTGGATTCAATTTATTTAAATAGTTGTGTAAAATTTAAAAATAAAAAAATTAATATGTTAAAAAACTATATCAAGTGTTCAATAAAAAAGATATGACGTGACTAGTTTATTGGAACAAATGATTAAAGAAAATAAGCAAAGAAAGAAGATATAGTTTGACCCAAAGTTTATTTAGGGATGATTATTGGATGAAGAGAGTATATTTTTACATTTATTTGTTTTTAATATTTTTTTGACTTATTCAACTTCTAAGGATCATTTGTTGTTTTAGAAAATACTATATTACATTCAATGAAAATTAACTTTTTTTGTTTTGTTAAAACAAGAGTCCTCTTTGGGACAAAAATAAATTTTGAAACATGACTTTTTTGGAGGGCGGGAGTTGCATACAGTTTTTTTTAAACAGAATTCTTGAGGACATACAATAATTCCTGATTAATAGCAAAAAAGGTAGATCTTTCAGGGGCTTATTCCAGGAGTCTAGTTTGTAGGCTCTTTTTTTCTGATCAGATTCTTATAGCGTAGTTTGAGTGACATTTTATGTATCTCCATGCCTCAATTACTTTATTGGTCCAAACAATCACTTAATCTTTACTTGTTATAGGCAACAAAAACGGAAAGAAGCAGAAGAGAAGCGATCTATGGAGAAGAAGTTGGATAGAAGATCTTGACATTGCTGCAAGAAAAAGTTGTGGACGATCATTAAAGATGTATGTCAATGCTAATATTACTTTGACAAGATCTAACATCATAATTCTTGTAATTCAAATTTACCATTCTTGTGAAAAGGGTTATAGTATCAAATGTTCAATTGCTTTTATGTGAATTACATTTGAACTTCGAAACATGTCCACAAAGGCTTTCATCTTTTATTTTGGTTCCTTTGTCCTTTCTTGGCACATCGGATGAGTTAGCATAACAAACATTCAAAGATGACTTCTCTTTTGGGATTATTCAATTTGGTTTTGAATGAATCTGAAAAGAATGATTCTTTCACTCCCACAGATGTGAGACACTATTGGTACTGAATCGAAGAGAAGCATACAGATCGATGCTTGCATCTACTCAAGTTGGCACATGCACTCTTTGCATTTTGGATGTCGATATATGCTTGTTCGACCAGGACCCCTTAAATGCACTGTTTGGTCCTCGTTGATCATCTGTCCTATTCTTTCTTTAAAACTATGCCAACTTATGGTCTTGTTTTCCAACAAAATTGCAGCCAGCCTCTTCTTGCTAGGCCTCAATGTGGGAGCGTGCCCGTCCCCATAGTATGTTCTGAATCCAGAAACTAGAGATGATAGCTGGCTGCCGGAGTCTGTTATGGCAAATACGTCAGCTGCTGCGCATGCGATGAAGTCCAACGCTGCAAGCTGCAAGTAAGTGAAAAGAACAATTTTTAAAGCCAAATCTACCCCTACTAAGTGGCTGCCATTGGTATAAAACAACAATGTCATGGTCATTTTAGTACTACCCGAGAAGAGTAATTTCTAAAAGGAGCAAGTTCACTGTGTGTTAGAAGATTTTCCTTTGTGACTATATTAGGATAGAGGCTTCTTAAAGGCTTCATCCGAGACTCTCCTCCGTATATACTTGAGCTGGCAAGATATATGCGAGTTTCACATTTAAAACCAAGGCCGGCGAGGACAAGTGCGGCTTCTTCTGGTGTCAATGGACATCTTCCCTCACTTCTCAGCTCCTTGGGAGAAATAGTCCTGCAATCATCAATACACACTTCAACCTTAACTCCGGACCCTCCTCAACGCAAGACATGGTTTCATAGAGGTGGAAGCATAGCACTCCTTAAGTGACACACATTTACGAAAAGTGAAATGATAAGTGCTGCTTTAACCCCAGGGATGACACCAAGTCTCACGTCATTAGAAACTATCATGCAAAGACATTCATCATGTGACACCAAGTCTCACACCATAAGAGACTGTCAGCAGAGACAGTCACTGTGTGTTGTGTGCGAGACAATCATTGACGGCGATACAGTAGTCGGTGTCATCTGTGAGTGTAGCATGGTCCAAGTGAAATTGTGTTGAAGATATTGAATTTGTAAGGTATGAATTGATTTGGACCACATCAATCATACCAAATATGATTTGGGACAGAATTCAGGACAAAGTAAAATGGGAAGAAACACCAAAAATAGGGTGGGAGAAGTAGAAACCATGCCTTGATTTCTTGAGTCTTTCAAGAAGCAGTGGGAAATGGGCTTCTCTGTAGGATTGAAGTTCCTTTGTTTCCCTCTCCCCGCCACCGAATTCACACATGGAGTAAGCCACCATGTCAATTTCGAACCTCAAGTGCAAAGCCAAGAATTTGGAAGAGCTCCCCGTGGGAAGAACCTTGTTCTTGGGGGTGAACTTCCCCAATAGTTCCTTGTCTAGTGTGCCTTTACTCGCATTGTGTTTTCGTATTCGCCTAACCAGTAGAGATGCTGTTTCTTGAATCCTTTGTACAAACTTGAGTGCATGGAAGTTGCATTTGCACCTCAATCTCTGCCATTGGTTCATGCACTTGGGTTAGCCACATAGCCATTGAATTTAAGGGCATAGAACTAGTCAATATGTTGCCTGGGTGTGTTTTTAGATTTTACTCCCTGCTATTTTAGTTTGCCAAAACTTAGGGTCTGTTTGGGAATAGCGTTAGAGGTTAGCGTTAGCGTTTTGAAAAAAAACTATCTACGGACTCTGTTTAGCGTTAGCGTTTTCAAAGTTAATATGCACTGTTAAAATTTAATCGAAAACGCTAACGCTAATGGAAAATGTTTTTCCCAAATGGGGTCTTATCTTGTCTAGAGGAACTGTTTTATCCATTTTAAAGGAACCTTGAAGAAGATGGGGCTACCCTTTTTTTAAATGTAGAAAGTCTAGTATCAAAGTGGGGGTTAATTGGTGCTTGGCATGGATTGATTTTCCATGTCAACATATAAAAATTGCAACATATTTTTAGGGTAGCTAAGATTGACCTGCAGTTCAAAGGGCAGTGGGTCAAAAGCAAGCCTGTTCCCAAATCCAAGGAAATGAACAACTCTATTGCGGAGGAGGAGGGGCAGTATGGTCTTTATGTATTCATCTGGTGTTGCTTCCTTTTTCAGATCTGCATCAGTCACCTGAAAATTCTTCCCAGCTACTAAGATCTTCTTGTCATTGATTTGAAGTCTAATTTATTTAGGGCTAGGCAAGAAAATAAATATGAAAATTGAGAAGAACTTATATGTCCAGATCAAGTCATGAAAAGAAGACTCTTACAAGGCCTCCAGCTGTTTCCAGATCAAGGAGTTTGAGGTGAGAAGGGAGGTCTTTTACAATATCTATGTCCTCTTTCAGTGTTTGCATGAAATGCTCCACTTGATATATCTCCTCAAACTGGCTGCAAAAAATTAAATAAATAAATAAATAATAAAAAAGGATTTTTTTATTTAAAATGATTTTTTAAAAAATGACTTCGAACCTGGGGTCTTTCCAAACAGTGCTGTAAAGGAATTTGGGTATGACCAATGTTGCATTTAGTAGAGATGCAACTGCAACAGCATTGCAAACCTGAAGCCATAAATAAATTCTATTAAAAGAAAGATTAATTACTCACATCAGAATTAATCACTCCATGCTGATCACAAGACAGTGCTATTTATTGAACTATTTGAGAAAAAAGTTCTTGGATTTATTTTATTGTTTGATTAAAACTATTTTGAATTATATTTATTCAGGATTATGTACACACATTCTCCTAGACTCTACTTTGTGTGGGATTTTACTGGATTTTTTTGGTTGTATTAAAAAACTTAATCAAAACTTGTACAAAACAAAGGATGTCATGATTATTTTATTTTCATCAAATGATCAATGCAAATATCTAAGAAAGGAGATACAGTTTTAATGTGTAAATCGTAATGTGGAATGATCTTCTGGGACGTAGGAAAAACTAAATTTATTTTGAGGATAAAGATTGTACTTACTGCAACTCTTTGTTGATTTAAGCCTCCATTTGCACTGACCAATATGTAACCAGTCTTCCTCTGCTTTACTGTCCTCACATCTATTCATCAAATCATTACTCCTTAGTTCACTTTCACTCTCACACACAACAGATATGGGTGCAAAAGGGGTGATTTTCGGATTTGACTCCTAACAACGACGATTTAAGTGATACATTTACTTCTTACTTGTTCAGCTCAATTTACTTGCTTTCAGATAACTGTATGGCCTTGAGATAAGGAAATTGAACACCAAATTAAAAGGCCATATAATATTGTACAATACCTTTAGGATTTTCTCTATTTGCACAAGGCTTCCATTTAGAGGCTGTAGAATATGGCTCTTCCCATAGCCTCAATTCATCTTTTTTATTCAACTCTTCCTGCTATAATTTGTTACAATGATATCAAAACCTAACAATAAAACATATTTTGAACAACAATTAAATTTGAATTAAAACATATATTAAATTGAACAAACCCACAGTTTAATACCTCTGCAAGAGTAGTTGCAGCCAGTGTTAGGAGCTGATCATACATTTTAACTGAGCCTCTTTCCTCTTCTTTAAGTAGAAGATGATTACTTTTCCTTTCAAGTGGCTGAAGTTAAATTGAATTATGTTAATAAATATTGGGAGTGATAAATTTTAATCCCCCCAGAGATATGGAGAATTATAGAAGCTAAATTATTGGTAGTAACAAAGAAATGAAGCTATATGAACCCTTTATGTATGGGCTTCATCCTCTTACCAATGGTATTGCTATGCTGGCTTATTTCTTAGAAATGAAGCTATATGAACCCTTAATCACAAAAAAAATTGATTATAGAATGGACAGATTATTTTAGGACTAACTAATTTACACACTTGAATATAATTTTTTTTTAAATATGTCTCGTTAATGGCACTTCATTCACAAAACATTTAGGAGAAAAAATGGTAGTAATATGATAATGAAATTAAACAATAATACCTCTTGTTGATGATTTTCTTGTGTTGACAAAAAATCTCGGAGAGCCGAGCGAAGAACACAAGACGTGAGATAATCCAAAAGAAAAATGAGAACCAATAACAGTATTGTAATAACAATTAACTTAGTGTGCCTAAACATTTGAGACTTTCCTTTTTGTGAGATTTTACAAAGTCTTTTGTTGTTGTGCCTACAACACATCCACCAAAAAGGCCTTCTTCCATTGTTATTCCAAGCCATTTCAAAAAAAAAGTAAAAAAAAATCCTTTCTTTCCCACTCTCTTTGTGAGCATTTAATATATGTGTCTTCCTTTTTCCCATGGCTCTTTCATGCTTGCATTACATAGGAGAAATATATGAAAGAATTTTGGTATGAAAGTAACAAGTTAGAAAATGTGATATTTGACCAAGTAACATACTATAGAGATGATGCATGGTTGAATTGTAAGCTAAGGTAACTTAAGAGTGGTTGGTCATGACCATGCATGTCATATAATTTAAATTTGATAAGCGTTAATATTCAACTAGATCATAAGACAGTTAGATTAAATTGTATTTAAAAAAATTGTTCTAATTACTTATTTAGTTTGAATCATGATGACTTTATTAACCCCATTATTATTTCTTTAATTTTCAATCTAGGGTACTTTAATAACATGACATCCACACCACCCCAAAGTTATTAATACCATATTTTCTTTTAAATTTTTTAACCACGTTCCCTTTTTGGATATCTCGTTAAATGCTTTCCACCTACAAGTACTTTATTTCACTTTTTTAGTAATGAACATGTGATGACTCACACGATTTCTTTCTCATATAAACAAATGCTACTATATACTTTTCAGTTCTTAATACTTTTTAAATTTAATGAAAATCAAAATGAGTATTCTTTTTTTGGACGGGTGGAATAATGATAATAATAATATTAATAATAATAGGAAATAAATTTTAGATTGATTGGAGTGAACTTGAAGGGTTGGAGCTAACATAAAGGTAAAATTGCAAATAAATACAGGAGAAGAATCAACATCTGCAACAAGGGGATAGCTACCTGCCACCTAACGGATGAACTAAATCTGCTAGCTTCTTCAAACATGGTTTCATAATTTTCATCAAAATAAATCCATGGAGAAGAATATGTGTTGGGCGGTGCTCCTTGGACCACACGGCAAGAAGGAGAGCAAATCCCATTCTAAGTGGGATTGCTCTTGATTTGTTTCCTTGTTCATATTTAGTGATTTGTTTCCTTGTAGGAATAGAATTCCTTTTGTGTTTTGGTCTTTATCCTCTCCTATAAATAAAGGAGAAACTCCTTGTACTTAGCAGAACAATTCAATATACAGAATATTTTCCCTCTTATTATTTTCTTCATGGTATCAGAGCAAGATTCCTAGGGAAAAACCCTAATCTAGACATACGACGGTCCATCACCGTCCTCCGCCGGTTCAAGCCTGTCTTCCGCCGGATCACCGACATCGACCGCCGGACTATCCTCCTCGACCGTCGACATGGCAGAAGTAGAAGAAAATCTCGTCGGCAAGCTTTTCGATGAGGAAGAAAAAATCCCTACGAAGGGAAGTTCTTACGAACTCAAGAACGCAGACACACCTGGATTAATTATCACCCAAGTCAAACTAAACGGTGATAATTATGAAGAATGGGCTCGTGCAATGAGAATTGCATTCCGTGCAAAACGGAAAATTGGATTCATCGACGGATCCATCCCTTGTCCAGAAGAAGGAGATGAAAACTATGAAGAATGGTG